ATAAATTAATAAAGCTATTTTTTTTWATTAATTATTACGTTAAAATTTCGAATTTAGCGCTAGTAGTTAATGAGTTATAGGTATTTAAAGTTWAGATTGGCAGAGTGGAGTGGTACGGGRTTACCCCGCAAAATGTTTGTCCACTACTCCGCTTGTCTAAACTTAAAATACTTATAACTCATAATCTACTCGTCCTAAATCCGATTTTTATGTATCAACATTTTTAGAAAAGTATTCTGCTTTAGAATATGAAATTAAAAACTATGTTGCCATTCAAAAAAGTAAAAACTTAAAAAATTATAAGGATAAAAAATATAATTTTTTAATAAAAGCGTTGGTTTTTTAACAACTTGAAACTATGTAAAAMAATATTTTGAAAAAAGTCAATACTTTWTTAAATAATGAGTGTTGTTTGATAAAAGAATCACCCTGTATATATATTTATTATTAGTGTCGGCGCAACCAGGGCAACGCCGTGTGGGTAAGGCGTTATAATACATATTATACATACCATCCCCTATTACAAGCCCCTTACAGCCCCTTACAGTATCTCATGTCTCTAACAGCTCCTTACAGTCCCTTAAAGTCTGTTACAGCTCCTTYCAGCCCCCTAAAGCCCCTTACAGCCCTTTTTTAGTATTAAAAAGTAGCCTATGTTTTTTCTTTGTGTCTAAACTATCTATGTACCAAATGTCATTTAAATCGGTTCAGTAGTTTCGGAGCCTATTCAATACAAACAATCAAATRTTTCCTCTTTATAAATGGTATATGGTTCTGTAKGGCATATTAGGTACCTCTTACAAACTCATTAAGTTGAAAGCAAATCTATATGGATCACCGTATGCAATACTATTTTATCATGTTATAGTAGGTATACTGTAAACACCAACTCTGTCCACATATATTTAAATATTTTTTAGAAATGAACTCAGCCCCTTTGTTCATTTAGTAATGTAGGTATTCAAATTATTTTCAAGTTATAATTTATTTTTGATTACTTAAAATTGTTATGTTATTTAACATACATTAATGTATTTAAAATAAGTGTCCTACGACGATACAAACTTATTTTTATCAGATAATAACTGTTTATCTCTCTAAGTTATTAGTTTCTAAAGTTTTTAAAGTTTTTGGTATTCAAATATGTGTACCAAAAATAGTAATATTAGTTCTAGTCTTAGGCAGTCTCGCCATTTTTTACCTACAGTAAAAAGCTACTTGTCCGAATTTCAAATTMAAAGAATAGATATATTATATATTTATAAAAAAATATTCTGCTTATTCACAAAAAAAGGTCGGATCTGATTTTTTTTTAAAGTTATTTTTGCCACAGGACACAAGTTTTTTAAATTTCGTAAAGAATTCATCTACCTGTTTGAACAATTTGGTGTTCGAGTATACTTAAAATTAAACACTCAAAATATGAATAAAGTATAATTAAAGTGAAAAATTATAGTCTATAATATATATACGTATATACTTATATTGATAATATATCAATCACAATCACAAAGTCTGCCATAGTTAATCTGTTAGTCTAGTTAGTCTGTAGTAATCTTGTGTAAAGTAAATATGTAGCCTAGTCAAAAACTTTACTATAAAGGCATATAACAAATAATTATACATCATTAAGTATTTAAGTAGTTATCATTAAGTACATTGAGTACTTTTATAATGATTAAAATATARCTAAAATATATAATTGTAAACGTAAAATCAAGAATTAATTACGATACTCCAGCTCATAAAAAGTATTCCACTAACATGAAACAGATAATCGATCAGTCCGAGATATCGTTCATTAAACGTAGGAGATGATTTGTTCTTTGATTATTTCCTATCTCGAGTCGGATACCTTTACATAAATATATTAAATAATTAAGTAATTGATGTATTAATATATTATTCAAATGTATTACATTTTCAATCATAAACGTATATATATATATATATATATGTGTGTGTGTGTGTGTGTGTTAAAGTAACTAAAATATTTTATCCTACTGTTACTGTTACATGCACTGTTAATTGTTAAAAAAAACTAAGGGGGGGGGGCTAAAAAGCCACACTATCAATTCTCAATGTACCAATAATGCGTAAAATTATCTTTGCATAGATATTATTCGTGTTTTTATTTTATAATTTTTAGTAATGGGAATTTTTAATTCATCCTCTCAAAAGTACCATCAATTTATATAGATCCAACTTTCATCAGAAACAACACTCAAAATTGAAAATAAAAATAATTTCACACTRCTTTATATGTATACAGACAAAAAAACAACAACACATAATTCTATAATTAATATGTACGTACATTGTGACATTCATATTGCTCTGCTTAGAATCTAAAATGATATTATTTATTATGTTATGACGTGAAACATGATTATAATAATTAAAAAAGTGATAATATTGGTATTATTTTGATTCACTACAATTTCAGTAAAATAACTAATAGCATAATTTACCTAAACGAAATATACAACAATATTTCTAGGGGGCTGATACAAGAGTTATATCGGTAGGTATGCTTACTTAAACGTACTGTGGTTTATGGTGCTATCAATCTCGTTGTTTTAATGCTGCACATTTTAAATTATTTTATATGACTGTCACCCCTCTTTAATCTTTATATATTGCAAAATAAAAATTCTAGATCTTCCACCGACCACGGTCTATATAGCTGATGATGTAAATAACAACGATGTGCTACACCGACGATCGTATGTCTATGCATAACAATAATACGTATATAATATGTAGATTTTTCGGTTAGTTTCGGTTTTTTTTTTTTGCTCACGGAGACGAGTCGTCTGCGCCCTGGGGGAGTTGTAGATGTACATATTATATATTATTATTACGACAACGCGTCGACTACACAAATGGATATATATATATATATATATATAAAACTGCACCAAGCGACGAAATCGCATATAAAAATAATATATAAAGACGTTCGTTAATTTTGTGTTTTTCCTCACTATTGTTCGCTCCTGCTGATCGTTTCTCAACGAGTGATGCTGTTTCCGCAATAATAATGCAAATCCACGCGGCGTCCATTCGACGACGGAATATAAAATCACGCCATTTTGAATTTTACATACAATAATAATGTTATAATTATACAAATGCGATACCGACATGCTATACATAGTATGAATACATAGGTACTACATAAAATGGTCACCAAGCGTACTTTTGTGCATCGCATAGTTTAATTACACATTTGTTATGTTCTCTCTAGGGCTCAGGCATGCACAATTTTTCGTATATTATATATACAGCATGACTGCAGTTACAGCTGCTATAACATTTTCGTACATGCACATGATAAACTCTAAAAGCCCGCATAGCTCATATGTGTTAAGTAAGTCTTAAATTACTATGCAAATTGTAAGTTGTAGAGATCAATTCGTAAGTAATTATACCTCGTGAATTTTCTAAATTTTAGCTTTATTGATTTGAAGAAAATCCTAAATTTTCTGAAAAAAAAATACTAACTTCACACTAGCCTTCCGCCCCAATGCTTACAACTTGTTCAAATATTCTGTCAACCGATCTACAATAACTCAAATAAAACTCTAATAATGTACAAGATTAGGCCTAATTCACAAAGTGAATAAACAAATTTTAGATTTCTTAGAGTACTGCAACTTGTGTACACGTTAAAATTTCAATTTTTATAATCCAAAGAGTGGTGAGACTTTTTAAAACTTTTTAATAAAATAATGAAGTGGATAACAGCTAACTATATATTGTATATTAATATATTTATAAAAGCAACGTGCGACTACAACTTCAASCCAACTTAAAAACTTGTTAAGTTTTTCAACCGAATAAACAAACGAATAACTACTATAGTCAGCGTAACTTTACAAAGTAAACGAACATAAAAATTAAAATCTTAAAATAGTTACCAAAATGACCTGAAAAATGAGATAGAATAAACTTTTAAAAAATTTAGGCACGTGTGATAGAGATTTGAAACTTACCTGCTGTAATCGGGGAAACATTTCGAAATAGATTTGGATTCTTTTAGCAGATTATCACTAAGTTCATAATATGTGCATCCATACATTACACATACCTAAGTATTCATTCGACGATATAATTACCTCAGTATTTCGTCCACACTGTCTGGAACCTGGAAGACGTCTCAAATATGAGGAGGTACCTGCAGAATAATGTGGAAGCCTTTCGATCAATTTCAAGGAGTTTATAATAAGTATAAGTTACTTTATAAAGAGTATAGGTACGTGCGTAATAGCAGCATAGTTGTATGCAGTATACGTATTGAATGATCATAATTCATGTCATTAATATGCCTGCACAACAGATACTATAGGTTTAAGGTTATAACAAATTAACAGATATGCGTCATTCAAAGAACAATAAAGGATAGTGGACATGAAAATAAAATTGACATCGGGTTAACGTACAACATGTAAGTATATTTGGTTTTTTTTTATCTTTGGGGGTTAAACTTCACAACAATGATTGTAGAATGGCACACATGTTCACAACCGGTTAACAAAATTAATTTCAGTGACATGGATTAACGTACATGTTAAAAATATAAGCAACGGTCACATGTACATAGGTAATAATAATAATAATAATAATAATAATAATAATAGTTATATAATACTATAATATTAACGTGTTCTATTCCAGAATCGACTAATAGTAAATATTATATATATTATCTAATAAATATTTCTCTACGATAAAATACATTATAAAGCGAACAAACAAACAAACAAACAACGTTCAACAACTCAAATGCTATAGGTAGTGGTGGCCTGAAAGACAGATGTTTAGAGATTTGAATGCGTGTTTTTACACACGCGAGGATATGTTAAATTACAATAATCTAAAACGTGGGTAAGTAATGCAGATTTGTTGGTGTTCAAAACCTCGCTTAAAWATAAATTACAATAAAAAATTGAGATAACATAGGTCATATATACAAATAATAAATAAAACATAATACAAATAATATAAAAACGYTTTATAAATATCACAAAAAATTGGGTGTAAAATCAAATTTGGCCTCGATTTTATTTAAATGGCTGATGCATTGTATCATTAAGTCAAATAGGAACGCCTGCCTTAAACAGTATGATCTTAGCACCTATCTAATAATATTAAGTTAGTGAACCTTGAAGTTAAGATTATTAATAAAATATGAATTAATTATAAATAAAACGTATTAGGCTAATATTTTCTAACGATCTACGAGAGAATACGATACGAATAAATATCATAAAATCTGATATCATAAACAACAAAACTTATACTTCAAAATATGTTTATGTTTAAAAAAAAATAATAAATATTTTAAAAAAAGTTGTTCGCTAGATTGAATTTTCTTAAAAAAAGAGCAATAATATATCAAGCATGTTATGTTGTTTTTAATATTGAGCGTTTTGAAAGAAAAAATTGCGTTATTTTTGTTACGCGAGTATATATATATATACAATATACATACAAACACATTTGAAAATATGAAAATATTTGGTAACTGTTTGAACTCAATAATGTTTTGCTGAAATTTCTAAATATATATGTTTATAAGTAATATTAAGACTTTTCGTTCGACTCGCCTTTTTGAATACCATTCACTTTGATCTCGTTCACGGAATGTGATCTAGCGTGCTGATGGGAACTGCTCCGGCCGTCCCGAGTACCGGTGATCATGTTCGGCAACATGTGGTTGGCTGAGTGCGATCTCGTGTGACCATTATTGCCGTTCCGATTGCCCGCGCTGGTTTGACCTTTGAGTGCTATTTGATAGGCAACTTCAAACGCTTGACCCAGCGTCAAAATGATTTCGGTTGCTTGGTCCTGCAACAACGAACATATAATCRTTTTCACAGATACTACTAGTAAGTATACATTTAGTTAGTAAGGTACATTTTGTTTTAAATTCTATAGTAGAAATAAAAAAATTTGTCTCACCATGGATGACACGCTGAACACGTGGCTGTAATGTGAACTGGTGTGATGGTCTTTTGTAATATACGCAAAATGGTTCAAATCATCCGCATCTTGACATGCGCAATCTATGTTACGAATCTCGTGCTCACACACTAAACTTCCCGACATGGGGTCCATAAACCGAACGCCTCTGTATGATATTACAAGTGCCACTTCTGGCAACGTCCGTTGAGCGCCACTGGCCACAGCATATTTAAGTTTTTGAATGGACTGTTTAGTCGATTCCGTGCCTCTGGGTTCTTTTACCTCAGTGGAACCCAAATACTAGAATATAAAACAAACAGACTATGATGTTTTTTTTTTTTACATCTTATACTTTTATTTTATTAAATTTGTATTGTATTACAGGCTTACCGATGCTATGTATTTGACGTTTCCACTGACTAGCGCTGCTGGCTGGTGTCTCCACTGTGTGATTAACGTAGAAGGAACGCCAAAAAGCAGTTCTGAAGGTCCTCTGATTATGAGGTCGCTATTATTGCGATTGGAAAAGTTTTGTAATGGCGGCGGTAGAGGAGCATGCCTGGACTTTTTAGGGTTATGTCGAAGCGTAGCAGTGCCAGATGCCACGTGAACCGAATGTTTTGAAYCAACTTTTTCTTTAAGTGACTTAATGTTGTTTTTCTACAACATACCACCATTAATTTATTAAAAATAGGTATAATTAATACAGTAATAGGAGCCTAACATTTCAAATTACTAAAATTACAGCCACCAAATTAATGGAAACTTACCAATTGCTTGAGATCGTTGCCAATATCATTTAAACCATCACCGACAGAAACAGCTTGGAGTAATTGGGACTTACTGTTATCGACAGATGACAGTATTCTCCTTCTATGACCTGGCTTATTGATTTCTAGCACTGCAGTGAGTTCCACTTCCCAAATTCTCGCTATTCGCTCAAGATCCGTATACAAATGTTTGCGGAATGTATCTATGTAGCAAGCTAGCCCAATACTAGTCAACCATTCTTCCATCTGTTTGGCATCTTCTTCGTCATCAACTTGATCTAGATCAGCAATAGATTTGCTTTTTGCTTTAGGAGTATCTTTTGTATACCGCTTTGACCAGAATTCTTTTACTAAGCACGGTAAATCGTTAACAGATTCTAAAATCTTATTTCGATCGGTTTCATTTTCTATGCCCATGTCTTTTAAATCCGATTCTACCAATACGCCACACTACAAAATATATAATTTAATAAATAGAGATTTTAAATATATTTACTTCGACACACACGTTAAGTTGTAAAAATTATGTTGAAAAAGTACATCACATYAATTAGTTTTTAAAATTAAAATAGAAATTTTTTTATTATAATATATTTTTTTGCAAATCAAACGTCCACCAACTGAAATTTCAATGAATAAAAACAAATTGTAATTTCAAATGTTAGAACTATAAATATAATATAGATTTCTAATTTTAATAAACATCTATAAAATACTTACAATAAAGTCCAAATTATCGTATCCAAATTCAATGAACGCATTAACAAAGTCTTGGAAACCTAATCCGAATAGCCAGGATTCAACCGTTAATGGATTATCATTGCCATTTATTCGAGATTTATCTTTACTATCAGATCTATTTAATCCTAAAACGATATTCCGTGTATTAATATATGATTGAACACCAAATAAACGACAAGCCAATTTACCTAGTCTGGCTTGGAACTCTTTTTCAAGCTCATTGCACATAGATTCTTTGGCGTTTCCGCCTCCTAGATTTGTTATTAAATCAGATATTTTAGCCCATTCTTCTTGTTCGTCGAACGGACTCAACATGGTGTTAGAACTTTTTGACTGATCTTCTGCGGAACCAGGTGATTGAGCTATGACTGAAGGATCATATACTGTACGTAATTTACGTAAAGTTTTCGGTCTTTCAGCTCTATTACCATTAATCGATCCTCTCAGTAATCCTGTTAAAATTATTTATTTGAAAAAACTATTATCAAATTATTTTTAGTTTMCTAACCTGCAAAKGTTGCATCCCCTACGAATTCTTCTACGCCAGTTTCTTCAGAGGTAGACACACTTTTATCAGTTAATAATGCATGCGACTCAGGTACCCAAGTAATCACTAATAAATCTTCTTCGATTTCCGTTTCCATATCTTTTGATTTTCTTTTTAGATTACTATAAATCTAGAGAACCCAATTATGGATTGTTTTTTTTTATTTTTACATATTAAATTAATTTTTATTTCACTTATAATAAATGTAAATGTACGTTACCTGACTTAGAGGTCTTATTCTAGCGTGTATGCTACGTTCAGCTTGCAATGGCGATGGCGGTGGATGATCAGGTGTAGGAGGTTGGCGATAATGTGTAGGACTTAGAGGCCAATCAGCTGAAGGCGTGTCATTGCCGTCAAGTAAACTTTCTCTGGATGATGAAATGGTAGTAGTAATAAAACCATTATGGTCGGAGACAATGACCTGATTAGTCGTAGCAGGTTCTAATTCGACACGTTTGAATTGCAAGCCACCCCGTGACAATATTGCACCGGGATCTTTATCGTGACGTTTGAGCTTTCGTCGGGGATTAGTTGTGCGAATCGGGACATTTTGGTAAATTGAAGTTAACGCAACAGGCTCTTCACCTGAAGTTGGCCTTAGTTTCATTTCAACATATTGATCAGCTGATTTCTCTCGACGTAATACTTCTCCTCGGTGACTTTGACCAGACGAAGGTGAGCCAGAAGTTGCATGGTATAAATATTCATAAGGTCCGCTACTGCTATTTGCGGATACTCGAGAAGGAGAATCAGCTGCGGGTGTAAGTCTTTTAGRTGCGACAGGCTGAAAAGATAACCACTACTGATAACACAAAGGACTCTGAATAAAATAAATGAATAACTTACAGAAATATTGGGTGCACTTGGATTCAATGGAGCCATTGGTAAATAGATTGAAGAAGATACGGGTCTATGGCCGCTAGAAGTTGTTGAAGAACTTATACTAACAGCGTCCAATTCAGGGCCTGAGAGAAAACTAGATTCTATTAAGGACCTAGAAAGTGGAGTAGGCTCATTTTTGTACCAACGGCCAGAATGGTAATTTCCATCAGAAATCCTATGGTTATAACAATTTAAGTAATTATAAAATTTAAAACAAATTTATACTAGACTTACGCCGAAGATTCCGATACACGGCGACTTTTATGTTTTTCCCAGCGAGTGGGAGAAGGACTAGGTGATAACATATTTTCATATGGACTACTTAATAGAGGTACGGGAACCATATCACCATTTTCACTCCTCCTTTCGGTTTCCATATCACTTTCATTGTTATTATTAAATTGGTGGTCTTCAAAAGAAAAATAATTTTTTTTAAAYCGTTAGGTAAACATTAAAATAAATTAAGAAATAAAAGTATTAAGTTAAATTGTTTGTATACTTTGTAGCATAGCTGCTATTTCTACAGCGGGACCAGCTTTGGGCGGAAATTGTTTTAAAAGATCTTCTACTGTACGTCTATGGATATCCCGTATATGTGTATTAATACCGTGATCTAGTAGTGTTCTAGCTACTTCGGTTTTGCCACATTGAGCGGCTTCGTGAAGTGCAGTGCCGCTACCGGTACGAACATTGACGTCCATTCCAGCCGATAATAGAAGCTCTACTACAGTCCTGATTACATTTCATATTTTATTACTTAGTACATTCAAATAAATAATAATAAATTAAAAAACCTCACTTGTGGCCATTTCGGCTTGCTAAATGTAAAGGAGTGTGAGCAAACATTATACCTGCCGCACGAGAATTGTACGATCTTATCAGTTCTGGTCGTTTTGTAATAATAAGTTCCACTGTTTCTAGTCTGTTTATAAAAATTAATCAGTCATAAACATTCTATTAATATATGCATATATATTGTATGAAAATCAAAATATAGAAAAATAAACAAGAACTAAATGCAATTTGTATATATTCCTATTACGGGATTAAATATTTTTATTTCATACTATATCGATAACACTGATAACAGGGATATTAATATGTAATAACCAATTCCTACCTTCCATACTGTGCGCATAAGTCTAAAGGAGTTTCATGTTTGTGGTTTCTTATAGTAGGATCAGCACCATGTTCTAGGAGTAGTACAACCACACCCGAATGACCGTGTTCGGCAGCACAATGTAATGGAGTTTCTCGATTTTTTGTCTTAACATACAATTTAAAGAACATACACTTAAGTCTCATAAAAACACATTTTCTCTACCATAGGCTTGTGCAAAGCGTCCGCAGGGTATGTCACTACAACTCTGAAAAGGGCACTCAGATCCCTTTAAAGGAACTTTTTTACCTTAAAGTACTTAATATAAATAAATTAARAATATCGTTTTCAAATAATGGCCTAGCAAATAGATATAGAAAAAGTTTTAGCTGAAATAAAACACTTATTCCAAAATAGCATTGACTTAAATTATACTCAGTAAATATTGTTTTAAAAAAGGAACCATAAAAAAATTTGATACTACAATGACAATAAATCGTGATCTTATTATATAGTGCATTTTGATATTTATTTGAAAGGGCCGAATATTTTGTGTTGCATACCCTGAAAACGAAGTTTGCGAGCACCTATTTTCCCAATATAGCATTAGAAAATTACCATATGATTGACATTCGGTATTGACGGTCCGTGGCAGAGCAACAAGCGGACTATGTCAACATTGCCCCTCCACGCAGCGTAGTGTAGTGGAGCAGCACCTTTATGATCAACTACATTTGTTGACGCTTCGTTACATAATAGAAGTTGAACAATTTCCCTGATGATAAAATMCAACTTATAAACCTTTTTTAAATTGAAATGTATAGAACCTAAATGACTAACATTGTTGCAATACATCCTTTTGGTTTGTTTATATAGTTTAATGTTATTATAGGCTATAGCACTAAAATGTCTACGTTTCAAGACGTAGTGATTGTATTTATATATTATATTTAGTATTGACGACTATTAGTTAATCGATTAATAAATTCCTTACTTGTACGCATTTAATGAAGCATGATGTAATGCAGTAAAGCCAGTTTGGTCTTGAGTATTTACTCCAGCACCTCTTCTCAAACTACACAAAAATAAAAAATAAATAAAATTAGAATTAACATTTTAAATAATATGTTCTTTGTTTAATTATACTGCGAACGGTTTTTTTTTTAAAGTAAAAATATAAATTACAACATATTTTATAAAATATTAATTAGAAATAGTGGGAAGATGTTTCATATTATATCAGTTATGCCTAGCTTGATGCATTCCAAAGTAATTATAAAAATTAAGTTATTACAATAATTCTTTTTAAATAAAGAATTGAATCTAATAATTCGATAAAATATAATATTTTAATTTTCTAATGAAACAGTYACATATTAATTTGATTTAGTTATCATCTAAAATGATGAACATAAGTTTGTACATAATGAAATAAATCATAAGTGTGTCAAAAAAATTGTTTTAACGATATGGAAATTTAGCTATCAAAGTGTAATAGGTATACCTGTCTAAATTTCAACAGAAACAAATTAAAAAAAAAAATACGATTATTTATTTAACATAATATTATAAGCTTTGTTCATATATAGATGATGTATGAATTATAATAGTTTTAAATTCCGACAGATAATAAATTTCTCTAAATTTAAAGTTGTAACTTAAAATCATAAATCACTTATCTAGATAAATTCTAAAATGAGACACTAACACGAGCTGAATTTTAAAATTTTAAAATACATTTAATACTTACTGTTTTAATTTTGGGGTTTTTTTTTAATGTTTTAGATTCTGAGCGGAGCGATATATATTTATAAATTTGTACAATGAAAATTGTAGGGGGATTTATTAGCGTAAAGGGAAAGTCACCTGACGACACCCTGTGAGAAAGATTTTAGCGAGAGAGTAGTTCCACACACCTGTTTCTTTTAAGGTACATTGGTGKATATGGAGGTGAGTGATAATAAGATTTTAGTGAGTACTGAAAGTTTTGTGAGTTTTTTAATTTCATTTTAGGTTAGCATGATAACATACCAATATTATTTAAGGTTAGATTGCATATGTCTTTTAATGAAGTGAGTAATTGGTGATGTACCAGGAATCTGATAATAACCAATATTATTGTTAAGTGGTGAAATGAGCATATATTATATATGCATATGCAATATATGTGTTGAAATATTTTAGCTAAGTACCTATCTTAAAAGTTTTTATCATCTGCCGTATAAAGGTGATTATTGAAATTTGGCCTTTGTGTCTCAATTTCACGATAGGTATACAAAATGCCTATTGATATCATTAATTAGAGAATTCTGAATACTGAGTACTATAATCATTAATTTCTATTGCTATTAATATAATGTACTTAAAAACATAGGTACAAATGTCTAGACTTTTAAATTGATATCTTATAAAAAGTTTCAATATAAAATTTTAATTTCCATTCTTTGATAGAAGTCTCATCTTCGTGTCAAATAAAGACTCATTAAAGATATTAAATAAAATATAATGTAGGCAGGTACCTACCTAGATACTTACATACATTTAATGCACAATTTGAAACACACTTTATATTTTAATAGATTTTTTATTGTTAACTGATTAATATTCTAAAATATAGTGTTTAGGTTGTTGTTGTGGTAAATAGAGAAAATTCTTAATTAAAAACTAAAATAATATAAAATAGTACAAAACAATATTATACATACATATTTCTCCATGTCCGAATTTCATGATATCAGTACTTTAAGTTTTAATCTAATCAACTTAAATAGTTAAATGTTTAACTAAAAAAAAAAAAAAAACACTATGAAGGAACTAACTGACTAGGTTGGGTAGTGGGCCGCTTGTCTTAATTCCCATAATATGTAAWAACACCTAATGTGCAATCGTAATATTATTGTTTATTATATTATGAACATTCAGTTATTATAACAAGTATTATTATTATTATTATCATAACCTGACTATCAGTTATTAGTGTTATTACTCATTGTTTATTTGTTTTATGTGGTACAACAGCGGCAGTTGGTTGAAAGCGAGTTGTTAACCGAGTTATTAATTTATGTTTATAATGAGCTCGAAATTTCTTTAGTTGTTTAGGCAAACGCGTGTACATATGGAGCAAAATCATGGCTATAATATTTTACGAGTTCGATAAAAATTACTAAGTAATATTAGGTATCCGAATTTAATTCTATATATTGGGTAACTAATACACGTCGTTCATAACATATACATGTGTAAACCATTTGAAACTACTATTGAATCAACTTTACAAGATTTACTTAATTACCTACTCGTATATTATAATAACACCTGAACATATATTATAGTTAAATTTAAATATGTTCTTATGTTATGAAGTTAAAATGATAATAAATTACAGATTACAGATATAGTTTGTTAAATTAAATAGATAACTTAATKCAGCTGAAACGTTCCATAAACATTATAGTAAGTTCCATTAGACGTTAGTCAGGAAGTATACTACGCATAATATATACGTCACTATACAGGACGCTCATTAAAAATAAATAAATTATACTACCAACATCAAAGGTCATTTATTTTTTTCTTTCTTCGAATTTTATTCATCTGGTTATATCAGATTTTTCTTTAGAACAATAAATAAGCATTGTACAACTTTACAGTAGGTAGTACAATTTTCCAAATACTTTCACATTCAAKTAGTAAAAATTATTCTTTTAATTACATTCGTTAAATGAGATTTCTTAAGCTATTCATATTTGAGTATGTATGCCATTATATAACATATAATACTCGTACATATTATGTATAGTATAGGAAGTTCAAGTATATCTTTTTTATTTAATGTAATAATTACATTAAACAATTTTTAATCACCACCTTTGCTTTCAATTTCGTAAGATTAGATTRAGAATTTTACAAAATAGTAATAAATAAATATTGTTCGACCAATTAAATAAAATTTAATATAATGATTTGATATTATTTATGGCACAATTCCAGATGATAAATATTACATATTTTCTAGTTCTATGATTATCTTCATTTTTATCATTGTGGCTAACGACTCCGGAAATGAGTGTCGTATTAAGTACCCACAAGATATTGCTATTCTATTAAATAGGACCTATATAATAATCAAACAATAAAAAAAAAAAACTACTTAGTAAAAAAAGGATAGCCAATTAGGATACTTAACTATAATAATAATAATGATTATTATTGTCCTCATAACCTAAACAAAATCCGATATACTAAAAAGTACCATTTTACAAGTGAATGTTATTTTAACAYGTCATCTAAGGCGATCTGAAAGTTCAAATATTTTTTTTTGCTGGATTATAATATAATGGCAATTAATGATCTTTGACACTAAAAATATAAAATATGGCATATAAGGTTTTCGATGGTAAGACCAACTATGAAAGATTAATATTTATAAAAAACAATTAAGTACCTAACTGCTTAGGTATAGAATTATGCGTATTCAGGATTATGAAAAGGGGAAGGAGGGTTAATATAAGTTGAACTAAGTTTTTTAATTGCTTATATATTAATAATATAAATAATACATTTATTAATGARAAAATATCAATAGGAGGGAGGGGGTTAAATACCAAAAACCATACTAGTTGTATATTAGTACCTATATACCTACATACCTACCAATAGCAGGTGTGGAAACGAGTAACGTGTAACACGTTATTGAGTTGGTAGGTTATTGCATTTAAATTTGAATTCAATTAAATACGATGAAAAATAAATCTGAGCGAAGAAAGTTTAATTTTTGGTAACCATTTATTTTAATATCATATAAATATGTGATAAAACTTTTACAAAATATTTTCGTTAAGGTATATATTAGATGAACGATGATTTTTTTTTTCGTTTGTTTGTCTTATGACACTTTTTCTAGTATAAAGTTTATACTTTGAAGGGTTAAAAGTAGAAATCTTTCGGTAATATTTTTTAAATAATCGGAAAAAAAATTTAAAAAACAAACATTTGTAAAATGTCTTATATTATTATTAAAATAATTGTTTTTTAACCATAATTAACAAAAAAATTATATTATCGCCACTCAAAGAACGTTTTTCATTGTAAATACATTAATTTGTCATTGAATTCATATTCATATAGGTACTCGGCACCTATACCGTAACCCACACGCTTCAAAATAAAGTAGGTATAGGCATAGTTGATAGTTTATAGATCGATTTTTTTCACGAACAATTTTAAAAGTACAGAGTAATTATTATCACTAAACTATATATTTAATATAAACTGTAAATTAAATCTATTAGTGTGTTTTTCTAACAGGAATTACCTTCAAAATTGATGATCAGAGCATTCAATATTAGAAAAKAAACACAAAAAAACACAGTTTCGAATAATTTTCACAGATTAAAATAAATGTTTGTATTTTTACGATGTAAAAACCAACAAAAAATATAATACAATGGGATTACAAAAAATAAGTCGCTCCATTAACTCGACTCCGAACTCGACCTAGTTTTTTGTAATTATATTAAAATGTTTAATTTTAAATCCATGGAATATGAAGTGCCAAGATTTTGTGTCCTATACGTGGTTCAAATATTCGTACGAACGACGAATGTGAACAAACTACAAATATAACACGGCAGTACGGCACACATAATAATATGACAGGAGCGCCTATGTCTTACTTCGTTTTTATAATATAAGGATTTGTGATACTATGTTCGTGAACGGTAATAAACAGTATATTAATACCTCGATTAATACATACAGTATAATGCTTAATACAAWTAAGTAACAATGAGTAGTGAGTTTATCAGTCGAAGATGCTGAACTTCTAAATTGAGGTCAAATATCAATCWGTTGAATCGACCATAGTTAATATCTGAAGTATGTTATGATAATATAAACATAAACACGAGCGTAAACATGATATCGTTCAGTAAAATACTGTACTTTAACTGTTTAACTGTTGACGAAGAGAGCATGCAACATAAATAAATCGTAAAATAACTGTATTGTAGGTTAATTTATAGTTTTACAAATTAAATACTTTTAAACTTGTTGATCCTGATCCTTCAAGTGTATTTATGTAAGAGCTCAATATTCGTAAAATGAACTGGATATCATAGCATYAAACTATTTTTGAAGTTAATTAAAATACTTGACACTTTTCATCTGACACTCATTAAATATAAATTAGACCGGAATGTAGTGTAAATATAAGAATTATCGATTTGGATATTTATTATTATGATGAATTATTAAACATCCATGAATCATATTAAAATAATAACAATTCATTGTACAAAGTCGTTTGAACTTAAATAACAACAATATGATGCTTAACATTTTGTAATTTTATACATTAGTGTTTTAATTCATATTGTCAAGCCGATGAGTGTGAAGCAGTGGTTTTTATCGGTAAAACATAGAAGGGACGGTTTCGACGTGGTGGAAAAACGAGTAAGTGATGGGGAAAGTTTAGCCCGTTTAGGTTTAAAACGTATTTTATATGGTAGGTATACGGAGTGTAACAGATAGATACAACAAATGAAAAATATAAAAACATAAAAAGATATGACAGAATGTCATCTTTCTGTTACACACTGTATTTAATAGGTATTATGCATATTTTGAAAAACCATTGATTGTACGTTTAGTATTTTCATTTTTGGAACAGTACGCTGTACAGTAAGTACTTGACATGATTCTTATCAAATTGTCGGAAGGCATAGACCGGAGGGGAAGAACAAATTATCAAAGACCGTAGCACGCGTATAGCGAGTATATTATCCCCAGATTATCAAGTCATAATAAGACCACAAACAGAATTAAAAAATTTTTTTTCAAGAATATATTTTAGTATACTCAAATTATCAATAAATTCCTGTGAATTCAAGAACAGGTTTCTGAAATTCCAATAAGCAGCAGTCGTTATAATTGAAGAAGTCTTAATGAATATCATACAAATAATGGTAAATAAAATAAACATGTGCAGATTGCAGAGACACGAATATACCGTAGTATCCGAAGATGATACTTATTTCCACCAACGAATTATTGTTATTCTTGAAAGCTTAGAAAAGTATTGACCTATACCAGCTGGCGGCTATATAGGCACTTGCGACTTGCCACGATCAAAGATCAAATATACACATATATAAAACCGACTGACATTGAGTGTTAACGAGTTTTTGTCGTTATATATTCAATGTTCACTGAACTTCAAGACGTCTTATTCTTCAAATTGTATAAKAGGTGAATACTATAAATTCCCGTCTCACCTAGCCAGCGGTCCCGTTCTCTTGGCCTTCTGCACCAGTATCTTCTCCACAGCGTTGAGATTGCCAGTCTTGGCTGCAATCACCAGATCGTGATCCTTGCCCATGCTCGCCTCCTTAAGTCCCTGCCCTAAGATGTATCCTCCGYCGTGTCGTTCGTTCCACCGTTCACGCGTTTGCGACGATCGCCGACCGAGTGTCGGGCACAGTCGTACGTTCGGCCCGTACCGTGTCCGCGAATTTGTCACCGGTCATCGTTCCGTTTTTATCTTTTACGTTATTCGCGTTTAGTTACGATATTATCACACACGARCAAGCGCGCGCGCACACACACACCGTAAGCGGACCATAACACAAACACGGGCGCCGCCGCCGATCGATCGCAAGGAGCGTACGACACCAGGTGGGGTGGGCGCGCGCGGTGTGTCACTCCCAGTCGGTCAGCTGCTGCTACAACTACWATTGCTCGAACCGCCGCCGCCGTCGCGGAATCGATAACAGAAGTGTACGAAAACTTGGGCAACTCGACGATATTGTGATAAAGCGTTAACAGGACTTTGGTCATTGGTGATAATTATTTGTGGACAATAATCGAAGAGTAAAGACGGATGCGATAAACCGTGCAGAAAACACAGACGGCCGTCCGCCGACACCAACGTTTTGTTATTAATTCTAGTGGGAGTTCGGCGGCCACTATCGCAGTATCAATATTATTGTATGATGATACTACGATTTACGTCCTGCAGGCGATATAGTGATAATAAATTCGTACGGGCACAGCAACACCGCCACCGCGACACTGACTACACCGGGCGTATGTTGCTCCCCACCGTCAATATTACAGTGTAGGCTTCGGGCACAGCTTGGAACGATGACAGCTGCAGTGTTGCCGACTAGGCGATAAAACGTAACCGTGGTCACGTCATCGCCCGAACAGTGACGAGTGACTGCAGCAAGTTGATGTGAAACGTGAAAGTGAAGTGACAAACGTTGTTGACTTGTTGTATGCGACCGGCGATCTACCACGTACGACTGTACGAGTGAGCAGTGACGAGCATGTTAAGCTCATTTCACAGGACGACGAWTTAATTTTTATAAATAAATAAAGGTCACCATATCCGAATCCTTCGGGCGATGGCAACATAATTTGTTAACTGGACTTAAACAATGAACATGACTGGGYGTCTGGGCGTGTGAGAGGAGTGTGTTTACAAAATATCATAGTAATTAAATTTTACATAATWATATAATATGTACTTTTGTACACAGGTATCACAAAATCGGCCATRAGTCATATTTTCGTACAAATCCAGCTATAATTTCCCAAATACAGGTACCACAAATTTAGGCCATCGACGTTCAGTGACTGTGAATATAGTAGCCAATTTTTTGTCTTTCAGGTTGTAAGGAAATAATGTAGTAGCAAATATTGGTGGTATATGATTTACAGAAGTTTATACATATTATATATATGTATGTATTTAATTGCAATTGCATTAGATGAATGATGACACCTATTCGGACTATTGAAATTTAGAATAATATGAATAGTATACGTTAAACATTTAGATATATCATATTAATGTATAATATAATCATTAAAAGCTATAATAATTTAAAAGATCAATATTTGTTACATATTATAAATACATGAAAAATGTTTCTTAAAATAATATTATCTAACATTTAATCAATTACTTTAAGTTTTAACAAATATAGCATACCCACACAACCACACTCAATTTAGGATAGAATAATTAATTTCACATTAATCGAATGTCAATGAGTGTTAATGACTTATTTATTTGCGTGTTATAATTTATAATTATTGTCTATTACGATATATAGCTGTGGTTATTGTTGATTTAAGATTAGGTAGGTATATCATATTTATATATGAGATATTATAACCTTTACAGTAATAATTAAGTTATTTTACTTAATTGTATTATTGGACTTGAGTTAAATAAATATTATTGCTGTCATCTGTAAAACATTCTCTAGTTCTCTACCATTATGGTTATTAATGTAACAATAATATTGAAAATGAAACATAATTGATTTAACAACTCTGAAATAAAGAAAATACAGATACAAAATAAAGAACCTTTATTTGGATCGACAATATTTAAATATATTATCTTATTTATAGTCATCTAAATGTACTTACCTTCTGGCCTATCACCGACAAACAAATTATAAATGTTGTTTACTTTTATTTGTCGTAAATTTAGTAGATAATTAAATAATATAATATATATTGTAAAATTGTGAAGAAAAATCCGAAAAATATATTATCTACCTACTTATTAGCAAAGGAAGTCATCAGTAATATATTAACAAAAGTTAAGCTAAAAAGATAATTGTTTAAACTTTTTAATTTATAGTTACCTAAATAATTTTATTTTTAACATATTAATGTTAGATTAATATTCAAATTAACTTATGTMTTATATAGTTATATGTAAACACCCGTAGTTAAAAAATATATTTAACAACTTGGCCTTTTCCAGTTAATTTGAACAATTACAATAAAACATGTCAAGTTAAAATAATGTTTATGCACGTGTGAGTGTGTGACCCTCTCTCTTGGTTTCCATCAATAACTTTACTGTTGTTAAAGCTAATTAGTAAATTAATTTTGATTGATCGCTTTCCTCCTTTGTTAATGTGTAATTGTCTAAACCAGGTGCGGATCCAGGTGGGGGGGGGGGGTAACGGGTTCTAGCCCTATCTATTTGAATGATTTCATTATATGTGCTCTTATATTTGTCGTCATTCGGGAAAAAAATTTATATTTTTTTTTAATTTAGTAAGTTAATATTTTTCTCAACATCAACTGTAAAGTTGTACTGTCTTTTATTGAGTTAATATGTATATTATTTTTATTATTAACTTATAACGTTTTTAACGTCGACTTTGACTTTATAGCTTGATAATTCTGGTTAATTTTTTTCATTATCCTCCTTACCTTTGCTTACTACTAGTACCTATACTATACCCATCATTGGGTTATACAAAAATGTGGAGGTTCGAACATTGTGAATAAAATATTTTTAGTAAAACGTATAAGTTTAAAATATTTTTTTATACGACAATTATTAAAAAAATAATTATACATTTTATATATAAACGAGAMACAATGTGATTACAATACAGTCTATATATATATAATATATTGTATTGTGCCTTCATTATAGCAATAACGCCTGTTATGCTTGTAAACTGTAAAATTGCTGTGTGAATTGATTTTTTACGTACGTCAGGTACATTGCGGTATTTAGTGGAATACAACTTTGTATTATTACACTAACAGTAATATATATAATATATATATATATATATATATATATATATATAATACTCTAACATTGTTGTTGTACAACACTACAACATACTATACATATGCTTTTACTAATATACTATGTTTATGTACATTGTACTTACTCAGTTAGTCAGATGTACCTAATGTATCGTTTGGTATTGTTTTCGAACGACGGTTCAACACAATGGTATCTTTCCTCAGTATTACAATTTACAATAATGATATGTATAATGTATATAGTGTATATGGTTAAATAAAAGAAAAAAATATTTAAATTTTCTGCCCCTGTCATACATAAAATGTTTATATATATGTATATATACCTATGTATTTATATCCATCGGTCGGTTACATATTATTATTATAAACGTAAACACTGCCCCCTTTTTGTTTTTATTATTTTCCTATTATTCTTTACTGCTGCAGTCTTACCCTTCACCCTTCCCTAAGCCTCTTACTGTTTTGCGTATATCCACACTCCGTCGTATAACCATACACATCGCTTATTACTRTTATGTTATCTGTATATATCGGCGTCCGTTCCTATGGAATATCCCTCTTATGCCTGTGTCAGCCCTTTTCGACATATATTCGCATTTTTTCATTTGTTCGGTATCTTTTAGCCGCTTCTTCCGCGCGCGCGCGTTTGAAAATCCTCGTTTCGTAGATCTTTAGGTTTTGTTTTATTTTTATTTTTAGTTTTTCCAATCAGATAAAAACCTTTTCTTGTAACGTCACAATTTTCATAYATTRCATAATTCATACTATACAAGCGTATGATACCGACGACTCTCATCGATTTATTACTTTACTATCGTCTATCTTACATATTATTATACTGGARAAGCTTTATTCGCTTGTCGCGCAGAAGACATTATAGTATTATACAGAATGCAGATTAACCATGCGCTTTCGTTTCTCACCTCTAATTTTTCTTTTAATGATGAATGTGCTCACAATTTATTCAATTTTGATTTTTATATTTTTAAATGTATGTAAAAATTATWATTTCAAATCCATGCAATTTTTCTTAGAATCTAGATCTATAGGTTGAGTATAATGAGTATGTTTGATATTCGAGTTTAACATGCGTAATAATAGTAGTTTATAATAGCAGTTTTTAGTTTTTATGAGTTTAGCGAATGGTCTGAAAAAATATTTTTTATAACGATAAGCATGCATACAATATACAGCTATATAYCTAAAAGGTATAATATAAAMGCTTACGCTAATTCTTATAAAGTATTAAAGTATTAAAACTTTATATTTTACCTTACTATCAGGCGCATATAATTTTTCTTCATTACTACATGTTGCTAAATGATTTAATTATACCGTGCCTATATATAGAGCGATTCACCATGCAAGCTCGTCCACATTTTTTCATTTAATAATTAATTTATTAAAATTTTGACTTTCGGAATTTTTAAATATACTTCTTAAATACTATATATTTAAGTTTTTCGAGATCTTTTTACTTTTTGAGAATCGAATGTCAAATTACTGTTTGACAATACAAACTAATGTTTTTCAAATTATAGCCGCCATTATTATCTACTGCACATTATTTATAAAACAATTTTGATCTAATTTTTAATTCGAACGAGTTGTTTTTCAAAAGTTTATATTTATACTAAAAATAATATAGTCCTCAAAAATGGTTTTACAAGCATATAAATTGGATGACCCATTAWCATAGACCTATTATATTGTATACCCTAAGTTAATAGCTCAATAACTATACGTCTTTGAGTTTTAATGTAGATACATCAAAATTAATCAAAAATACCTGCAAATAATTTACAGTAGAAAAGGAAGTTCTCATTTTAAAAATTGAAGTTTGTAACTTATTAWGATACRCCATAAGTAATACAAAAGGAAACATGGATTTAAAATTTTAGTTTTTAAGAATGTATAATATGTAATAATTTCAGAAATCAGACTTCTCTACCTTTCATTATTGTAAAGAATTCAATCATTGTATATGTTTATAATTACTTTTTATTAATTACGCAATAAACTTTAAATAGTTACTATTTTTATATTATATTGATTAKGAAATGTATGCATTTTAATTTTAGATTTTTGATATAAATACATTAATAATCGCGGTTAATTAAAGACTTTTAGGCTTTGGTACAACATTACATACGTTTTTAATGGTTAAATTTAATATTATCTAACTCTCTAGCCAGTAAGTGTTGCCACTGGGTGATCACTTCATCATGTCAACTATGCCAATATATGTAAATTTATTCTCAAACATGCTTATCGTAAAATTTATTWATAGATTGTATGTATTAAAATAAAGTAAAAAAAAAAAATGTAATCTTATATCTGTTGCCTTATTTGTTGCATATCGGCAATGGAAGTAGTAATAGCAAATCGCTGCTTTACTTTTTTAAGTCAGTGCTTAGAAGTTTTCAACTTTTATAAGCTTCAGTTATATAGATATACAGTTAATATTAAAATTATTCGTTATTGTAAAATATAAATTAAAATAACGCTTTATTATTTTTTCAATGCTGCATACACTTATTATTTTAAACCTGTTATTATTATAATTTGTTTACGACACTCAATCTAAATAACTATCAGGTACCAATATTGGTTTGATAATATACTATATTATAAAATCAATGTCCGGCACTAACATACAGACCAAACAGTTGTGGTGTATTCATCAAAACCAATAGGTAATAGGTACCGATATTGAATTTCATTAGCATTGTAAGAATACTTGGTATATTGAAACAATTTTATTAATAAACTAAAAAAATAATTGCATACTTTATTAATTTATCCATACGGAACTCAAAYTAATATCATTGATCTACAATATTCCGCTGAAATAGTAAACAAATACGAAACTCGTCTAAGTTTAAATTAGTTTATTGATTATGTGTCGAATCATTGTTTTAGTATACAAATTATTATATTATATTAGTATATTACCTAAACATAATTCCAAAACTCGGAATATACTGTTCGATGTTATAGTTATGTATGTACTATATATATATATAATTAATTAATTAAGTCATTATAAGCCCAATATTAATCCACTCACTCATTCACTGCTACATCTTAAAAACTACAAAACTAACTTGAAATTTGAAATAGTGATTTCTCTAATGGTCTTATAATGTGCAATAAAATATAATTTTTTAATATTCGCATTTTAATGAAGTGTTAAAACCGAGTTCTTAAAATTCACGGTGGAAATTATAAGCACTGTTTTATGTTTACCCATAAACAGTTGCTATCGGTCACTTTCAGGGGATCAGGTACAAGCAATGGATCAGGTACAAGCAATGCATCAAATTGTCACGCTTATGGCATCTAATGAAGAAATTATACCTTAAAACCTAATGTATGTTATATATGGGTATAGCTTATATTCACAAAAACTTCTCAAATTGAAAATTTCCGATGGTTTTTAGAGATTTCGTGACTTTCGGTTGTTTACCTAGGTAAAATTATTTCACAAAGCAAGATACATTGATGCTGATTTATCTGTGAACCGAGTTACACTAAAAATGAGATGTACTCAAACCAAGATAATCCTATACATACAGTGTGTCCCGTGAGGATTTACCCATTGCGATATCTCTCGAAATAATGGTGATATCGAAATTCTGGATTTGTAATAAAACTCACAGAGATAAGAACTACAATTGTTTCATATTTTAATTTATTATAATGTTTTGGTAAAAAAGTTAAAAAATATACTTTTATATTTAATTATTTTCAAAAAAATTAAAGATAGCCATTTTGTAGAGTTTATTTTTCTGAAAATATTGACGTTTCAAAATTTTATTTTCATTAATTTCCTGATTTTTAATATTTTTTTTAGTTTCGATAAAAATTGTGAATTATTTAACACCATAATGTTATCAAACATATGACCCGCCTCACCGCGCGCATTCTCTTACGGCCAGCCGAATACTCTCCGTGTTCCTAATAGTTATAGGTATACATTTACAATCATATTTTATTTTATCAAAACTAGAAAAAATAACAAAAATCAGGAAATTATTGGAAATAAAATTTTGAAATGTCATCATTTTCAGAAAAATAAACACTACAAAATGGCTATCTTTAATTTTTTTGGAGATTATTAAATAAAAAAAAATTTTTTTTTAATTTTTTACAAAAACATTAAAATAAATTTTAATATGAAATAATTGTAGTTCTTATCCCTGTGAATCTTATTATAAAACCAGAATTTTGATATCTCCATTATTTCGTGAGATATCGCAATGAGTAAATTCTCGCGGGACACCCTGTATAATATATACAGTGAAACCTCTAAATACCGGACACTCGGTCGCTTAAATGTCGTCTGCTTTGGAGGTGTCTGCTATTAAGAGGGGAAATACGGTGAGTACACATTTCACCGTTCCCAAAATTCCGTCCGTTATTTGAAGGTGTCCGTTAATGGAGGTTTCACTGTAATATATATATACTACACAGGATTTACCAAAAAAAAAGGAACAGCACACAAGTGAAGCCGGRATATTCAGCTAGTTATACATACATTTGAAATGCTCCTAAACCTATAACTTTTACAGTTTACCACAAATCTCAGTGAAACTTTAAAATTAACACCACCTAGTAGGTATCTATTATTAGACAGGGTGATCCACCAAACATAATCATCCCCAATTTTTCCCAAATTATGTATTTCTTTAAATAGGTACTCGAGGAAGGCATCACTTTAAGTTTGTGTACCCACATTACTCGCATAGGTACTGAAACGATATTTAATTCAGTTTTTCCAGTGAGAACCAATATCTTTTTCCTGATGGTTTTTTTTTTAAGAATGACGATGCAATTTTAAATCAAAAAGTAGCGAGTAATTTTGAATTTTTTAAATTATTTACTTTCTAATGATGATAGAGGTCAATGATAACAATAGGTTTGTAAAATATAACTTTAAACTTATTATACTTATATTAACCTATATTAAGATTTTATTTTATTTTCTGAAAATCTCCTGGAAATAATATGAAGGTACTTACTTGATTAATATATAAATATACATTTAATAATTGTTTTGAACCGTCATTAAAGCCGGGTCCACACGACGATAGCTACTCTTGCAAAAGTCGCTATCGCGATAGTGCTAACAAATATTATCGCTGCGTGAACATGCAACTTTCGCACCATATGCATGATAGTTGATAGCTACTATCACGATAGCGACTATGCGATATATAACTATCATCGTGTGGACCCGGCTTAATAAGAACCACCAAAGATTAAGTACTGCAGCAGCAGTGACTTATAAATATTAAATAGTATATTGTGTGTAGGTAAATCTCAAAAGCTACTCGTTCAAATTTTGATGCAGATGTCTATGTATCAAATATTTCGAAAAATCTTCTGCTTTGCAATATTTATAGGTACCTATGGGTAGTAGGCACAACAAAAGAGGTTGGATATTACTTATAAAAATTACGTTTTGTATCGTCACAGGGGTATAAACACAATATACTGTGTGTACTTTTGAAGTGTTGGTACTCACAACTTATAAATATCTGATTGAAAAAAAACGGAAAGTGCAATGAGCATGCTTGGTGAACCACATTAATTTTATACGCAAAAGTATTTAGTTATAAATATTACCTTATGAGATGAAGAAACAACTGGAACCTGCTATAAAAAATTGCGCTATTGATAATATAACATTTATGGTATTATAGTGATACTCGTATATTATAATACCATTCGCGCATGTTTCGCATTTTGTTAAATGACGATCTATTATAAAACTTCATGACCATAAAAAAATTCTGAGAGTCTTGCGAGTTTCAGTTATTTTCGATATTCATCGAATTAATGTCAATTTTTGACATAACACGAAAACAGTCCTGGTTGAAAAACAGTCACTATAGTGTTCCATAATAGTTGTATACTCTAAATATTATTTGTAGCTCTCTTCCAAGTACAAAAAATAAAAGCAATGATTCTAAAATGAAGCATTGGGATCGATTATAATTTTTTTTTAGTTTTTTCTGTCACTGAGAATCATAATATCTGTACAATATATTAAGTTATTAAAGCTAAACAGAGTCTACGAAAAGCTCATTATGCTGTATCCCAGAAATAAGGACGGCGTCTATGCTGATAATTTATAATAAGTTATCATTTAGCGATGTATAAGTAATACATAATATATATAATATGTAATAAATAATAAATAAGGTTTATATTACAGATATATAATAAACAAAGTCATCATGGTTGTATAATATTTATTTACGATTCTCATTTATTTATAATATAGATTTTTTACACATTTTTTGTAAACAATCGCGAGATCATGTCGCGATAGAAATATAGATTGTATAATGTACAAGTTAAACAAAGAAAAGAAAAATTCGATCCCTTTATTAGCTACAATAGAATATATTTATCGTAAAATAATATGTTATTATTAGAGACATGCGAGACTCCAATATTGTTACACAGTAAGACTACGCGAGAAATTAAAACAAAGTATAAAAGAAAACTGTATTAGAATTAAAATCAAAATTTGACGACTAAATCCCTCTCTACTATTATATTTATGAATATATAATATAAATATTTATATATATTATATTTATTGTTTTGTATAGTTTTTATGTGGTTATAATATAAGATTATAATGAACAATTTATTTATACAGTAATATCAATATTATTACGTAATATTTTAATATCTTACAATGTAATATAATATTATATATACAATGTACGTACCCATATACATTGGTACAAACATCAGTTAAAAATCTTTCGTGTTTATTAAAATAAAAATTAGATCACTCAAACGTTCGTCGTAATGTACATAATATAAATATCATCAGCGGTTACCGTCATCCTTTCACTGTAATCTCGACCAGTATGTGTGTTCCGGCGCTTGGCTCAATGGTATTTGCACCGGTACAGATACTCCGGCAGATATTACGCCTGAAAACACGCAATTTCTAATATGTAAATAATATATGATGTATAATATTAAAAATATAAATAATAAAAAATGCAGCGGAGCCTCTCGATTTATATTGCTAGATACTCTCACATATTTCGGACTATAATTCAAACGAAGGCATTTTAATTTACAATATTACGACGGGCATATACTTTATAGTGTTAACCTGTATAGAATTTTTATTGAAAGCATACACATAATGCGACGATGCGTAGGTTGTAGGTATATTATTGTTTTACACTATTACCTACGATAAATATTGATTTTTATGTTTCATACAGTGTCCATGTGCTAATGATTTGAGTTGTTCGATTAGGTTTCTCGAATATTTACACCCCATAAAAGTGTGAAATTTACATTTTGCAGAATGTAATTAGGTGTTTTAAGCTTTTGCAAACTACTGCATTAACCATAACAATATATCATATGTGCTTATAACTTTTTTTATTGATGGAAAAACAATTTATCCACCACCTTACCCGTGATAATAATGATAATTAATAATTATAATACAAATTATAAATTATTACCTGTGCCCGTAGCACCGGGTGACGTGTTTGACGCATGATGAGTAGAAGTGGGATACGCCGCCGGATGCGTGTTGGCGTTGACCGAGTGCGCTGGAGCGGGTTGGCAAGGGACACGTGGTGACGACGATACCGGATGGTTATACAGCGAGTCTGGTGGCGGGTGATGGAACATGTAGGGGTATGAGCTGGCCGGATGATGATGATGATGGTGATGATGGCCGCCGGACACCATGCTGGACATGGAACTAAAAAATACGATATAAAACAGTGAATAGATTGTGAGAATCGCTGCAAGTACCTATACTAAACAACGTGTAGTAAAGATTTGCAAAATTATTTGCAAGTAAACATTTTATATATGAGATATCCGATAGCTATTAGGACGTATCACAATTTTCATTTGGGATTTGGATGTCTTTTTCAAACCTTAACGAATTACACAAAATTTGTAGTACACAGGTTAAGTCAAGTAGATATACATACCAACAAGACACTCACAAGCGGGGGGGGGGGCGTGAGAAGGATCCACATTCCACGGTACTGAGACCCGGGTTTTCGAGGGGCGCAGTATTCAAGCAAATAATTACTTCAATTTGTATTAGAAAAATGTTTAGGGCCCGGATTTAGTTCTGTACCAGGGCCAAAAATATGATGTGAGGAGCCTAAATACATTAGAAGTTATTTTATATTTTTAAAAGTGATTATTAATTAATGTGGAAAGTGAGCTTTTTATGTTACTGAATTCAAAAGAAAATTTATATTTTTGCCTCCTTCAAAAATCTTTGGTTTGCCCGATTTCAGTTTATTTCGAAGTTACCGTAAGATCAGTAAGCTGTGCAAGTAAAGACTTACCCATAATTGTCGGTGGGCATGGTAGCGATTGGTTGAGAGATGGATTGGTACATGTGGTTGAAACCAGCCGCTTGGATCGACGCCAGCCGGTTGTTGTGACCGCCGCCACCACCCCCGCCGCCACTACCACCGACCACATTCGACGTGGCGCCGGCCGGTGGACTTACGGACGCGGATGACGAAGAAAGTGCAGCTGGTGTACCGTTTTGCTGGTCAAGTCCTCCACCTCCTCCACCACCACCTCCACCTCTGCGCTGGTTTCTCAATTTCTCTTCACGTCTCCATTTAGCTCGACGATTGCTAAACCAAACCTGTACGAAAAATGCAATCATAGATTTTATTTTATATGCCGACGGGTTATAATAAACAAATAAAATGTACATTTAAGTAAATACTATATATTGTATATACGTATTATTATTAACATGATTGAAATGTTTTTATTAAATTGGCGTAACTATACACAGTCTGCTACTGTTCCATGTTTTGCCACTAGTTTTCAGCGATTTCTATACATTCGAATATGTTAAGCCATTMACCAGGGATGAATCGATTCCGAAAAATAAACGATTTATATTTTCCTAATATGGTATAAGTTTCATTAGGTTAATAGTCAACGCGATAAACCATCGTGGCATCATATATATATAACATATACAATACATATGATATATTATGTGTATATGCGTCTTGGCGAACGTACATGCGTTGTTCTTTCTGTATCTGTTTATTTTCGGATGATTTACGGTTGTCGTATATACATATGTTTTTGCTTTTTTTTCTGCGCGTGGGGATCGGATCGTTTATGTTTCCATTAGGATTTATTACGAATGTATGTATAGCGTGCGCCCCGTACATATGGATTGACGGATTCCGTTTCGACTGTACGACCATTCACCAAACGCACCGGCCCGTGAAAACTACGACGAGCATATTATTATGGAGGCGGTGGTGGGTTTCGTGTGTATGTTTCTAATTTAGCTAATGACCGGTTGCCCTACATAATATTCAATTCCGCTAATGTTGCGGACGAACGCCCCTTATAATATATTATATATTATAGTTTGCGCTGTCTAGTACCACCCACTGATGTACAGAAACATATATTAGGAGGTATACGGCGGTGTATCATTTATAAAAAATAGTAAATACGATTGCTGTGTAACKCCAGGGGTCGTTGATGATGTTCTTTTAACTCGTGTCCTGCTTCAGTTCGATTATAACAATATTATAATCATTGATTATATTATTATAAATACTAATATTTATAGGTACGTATTTATGCAATTAAAAAAAAATCTTGTTCTTTGGACAAGTTATATATGAGGTATATAACTCGAACCACACAAGTATCAAATTTATTTTTATCCCCTTTGAAGTTGAAATCTGAGTTATCTTTACTGTTAAATAATATAAGACTTATAATGTGCACGTGGACCCCATTTAACTATATTTTACTGGATTATAATATATTAATAGGTACAATACTATGTGTACATACGCTGCCTATATGTTCCCTTATATCGAAAGTTCGAAAAGTTCACAATATAATAAATATTTTATATCGAAGTCAATATACATAAACTATTCCGGATCTAATTAAATATTTTGGAACGTATAGCGCCTGATTTATATTTTAATAATTCATTCATTATACACAGACTTTCGAGCGCGTTTCGGATCTATATATAGTGTGTACCAACAATAAACTTTACTATTAGATATCATAATATGTATATAGGTTTATACTTGTATACAGTTTTAATRACTATATATAAGTAGGTGTATTGGTATTGTATAATACAAACACGGTATGTCATTTATGGTGTTATAGTATAAAACGAAGATTTCGCAATAATCATTACGAAAATATTAAAACAATGAGTGATACATAAGTGATATAAACCCATAAATACTAAGCATAAACATTATCCAATATAAAAGTATAATATAATATGACAAAATATAAACATATTTTGCAATCTTGGGACTTGGACTAAGCAGAACTCACTGTGGATCATTTTTATACGACAAACGTAACGAGTATTTTATCGTCCAGTCAATTAGGTTATTTTCCTTCGTCGTTAGTATTATTATTTATTATTAATGTTTTACCTATACCAAAACGTTCAACAGGCTCGTTGCGCGCGACGGTCATTGAATTTATTGTCGACGCGAGGGAAGTTAAAAACCGGCGGTCCCTTTGTGCTCGTTAAATTTATGTCCACCCCCTGGTACACACACACACACTCACACATATGGGTTTTTATTATCGTTGTGAGGGCGGTCCGCGATTAATCAGTTTCTTTTTTTTCTTTATTTTTTTCTCCCTCAATGTCCGGCAGCGAAGAGGACAATTTCCTAACTGGTGGTGATCGTGGGACTGCTGCTGCGTTCGGCTATAATACATGTATAGTAGGTATATTACAGCTATATAGCGTATGTGTGAGTGTTTATCTATATATATATATATATTATATTGTCCTGGTGGTGGAGAGGACGAGGGCACGTTCTCGGTAATTGAACTGTCCCCAATTGCTCGGCACAAACAGATTATTTTTACTATATATATATATTATATATATATACATAAACGCACGTATATAAATATAGCAATAATATCTATCGTATATACGAGTATAATATACCCGTCGCTAATAAAATCAAACTGGCCTATATATACACCCGTCCTCGTGTCGTAACTTAATTGCCTGAGTGTGTGTGCTCGTACGTGGAAGCGAAGGGGAGAGGTGATATTTTGTAGAAGAAGACGTTTTCCGTGTCCGTCGTCGTATTAAAACAGAATTACGCGGCGCAAATCGAAGAAACCGACCGTCATCGTATTATATTATTACGTATAATACACGTCATATATATTTTGTTATTTTGTATAGGTAATAATAATAATAATAATAATAATAATAATATGATCAAATAGTTTCTGCAGTTTTCTTTTTATTCCACGGACGTCTTGTTACACGCACGTCACTACACCCTGAAGAAGGGGGAAAAAGGCTACTTTTATTTTTTTATAAAGGGATGAAAATTCATCTCACGCCTACGGCACGCCGCCACCGGAATGTCAGTTATTCGCATATAATATAATGTAAAATAATACACGCCGCGGTGCACCGGCGACTGGCGGCAGCCAACCACGAGCGCACATACCCGTACACGCGGACAAGCACAATGCCCTGGTGCGGGGAGGATGCCCCTCTTTTCAAAATCAATACCTCGCACCCTATCGCCCGTGGTTTTCATTGTCGCTAGCATGAAAATTCTCGCCACGAATAATATTTTCACCAACTCGTTCCCGCCACCACGGATTATGTAACAATGAATAGGTTTATACAATATTATAGTATTACACACGAAACACTGCAGTCGAAGACGAATTATATACGTTCCGACTTTCGAACATTAAAATGATGAAAAGTATGAAGTACCTATATAGAACGTTATAGGTAAAATTATATATTACCTAGTAAAATACAAGTCATATCGTTTCAACATGTTTCGACTTAAAATTAATTATTATTTAGCTAGTATTTACAATAGTTATTGCAGTATATATATACAATATACATATTATAGTTAGATATACATTCAAGTGATATATTATAGTGATTATTAGTATTACCTGAATTCTGGCTTCCGGAAGAGATATGTTATCCGCCAGCCTCTCTCTGGCGAACACGTCCGGATAATGTGTTCTCTCGAATTCTGAAAGCAGAATAAATTTGATTACATTTATTATTTATATTATTTATATATATATTATATATATACACACAGCTCAGGCACATAAAGTGAGCAATGATCATAACTCAACCAAAAAACGGACAAGTAACAATTAGGTATTATTTCTTTTAAGATACTTTGACACTTATTAGCTTTGAGTTATGAGTACCTATACTATACTTTAATTAGAAATATTTATAGACTAACGAAATGTCCGCCGAGGCACATATGGATGTAGGATCTAGGTATAATTTTTTTTATAATTTTATGATTAATAATGAAACATTAAAATACCAATAGTATCCATAAAGAATCAAAATTACACCATGTGTAAAAAATAATAATCTGAACATAATAACAATTTCAAGTATTTGCGTTTTATTTGTTTTTGAATTACTTCCAAATAAAAAATAAATTTAATACATGGTACGCTCGCGTAGTATTACATATTTTGTTAAAACAAACTTCAGACGTTCCTAATAAATATTTGCGGAATTATACTCTCTTTTTTTTCATCCAGTAATAACAGTTAATGTGGAGCCTTATTATATAAGCTTTTCAAAATGTAAGTATGAATATTATTAAACATATTAGATATTTTTTTACAGTAAAAAATAACACACATAACCATTCAATCATAAAGTCAATAAATTTATCGCTCCATTCAGAATCTAAAAAAAACTTAACACAGATAACCTTAACTTAGGAGACCGGCCAATCATTTATAGACAAAATAGTACCTATAAAAGATTTTATTAATGGAAATTCAGTCAAATAATTACATAAATTACAATTATAACTTAAACAAGGCCTACATACACTAAATGTCCCAAATTAGAATATCTTGTTAGTGAAGTGATTATACTATACATAGATATATTTATTGTCATTTAAGTTCTTTAAGTGATATTATGTTACGATATAGTGTTTGTTAGAATCAGTATAATATGTCTCATAACATTCCAACCAACATGAATGAAGCATTAGGACCAGGCATCGAAAACATCGCAAATTTGTTAGCTTTGTTAGGAAAAACCTCCCTATACCATACAATTTAAGCTTTCTGCTAACGATAACCATAATATTAATGTTAGTGGAAATCACACAAAATTAACACCATATTGATTGTATAATTTTAGTTCTAGAAATCACTCATATTATGTATTAAACAAAAAACTAATAACCTTTACTGTTCATGTTTTTAAATTCAATAAAAAAAAATTATTATTGGCTCCCTACACGCTGCCATTTTTGTTTTTGTCATCAAATATTTGATTGAGAAAGGATAAATATGCAATAACTTCGCATATTTCAATCATGATTATTAAACATTGATTTATAGGTAATTAAAATTAAAATTATTTTGTATGTTATTATAAAACATATATAGGTCTAGTCAATAGTCAATAACCATCAGAGATTTTGTTTAAACCTTACTATACTCTATACTCGAAATTGAGACTAGTAGTTGTTAACTGAATAAATGTATTGCATTGTCAAACGACATTGATMGATTTAGCACTGAAGGAAGTTTAAGACAAGAAGCATTACAATTTAGTTTAAACACTGTATAGATTGAAATTAATAAGACAGCGGCAATGTGTTAACACTACATTGTTAGCTTGGTTGACTAATGTTGGTTGAACTTACGAATAATTAACGGTAACGTTCAAATTACATATATTGTGCTTGACAACAACAACAACAAAAACTCAATAGTCTTATAGTTTGTATATATCGTCGACACCGACAAGGGTAGATGATTGATTAATTTTGTACACACGAGAAACTACAACCTCAGAAAAAAAATTCAATTACTTTTTGAAATATATATATAATATGCAATATTATAATACATAATAATAAAGACTGCTATATATGATGCACTGTAGTATGGTATTTAAATACTTTAAATATACCGAAAATATATGGATCACCAAGGATGATGATAAACTTTTAAACAAAAATCCCGAATCCGTTCTAACTTTCAAATTTATAATATTAGGCATATGTAGGATTATCAAGAAAACGAAATTCGGTCGGTTGCTGAAAAAGTACCATTGATTCAATTGTTGTTAAATTCAGATTTTGAGATATATATTGTGGTTCACAAATTTAACGATATATGATGATATGATGATTAACGATTTTTTTGTGTTCTATACGTATGTTGACCACCTATAACTAACCTTTTTCTAAGCTGTCTATTTGGTCGTTGGTGAAACTAGTCCTGTTTCTTTGCAGTTTCCTTTTCAGTCTAAGTCTTAGTTGCGAATCGTCATCCGCCGACGAATTGTGCTCCGAGTTGCCATCGGACGTGCTCTCCGGTGCTAATTCAGCAGCTGAAACACGCCAATTCGAATTCAGCTAAATTCTTTGAAAAAACACACGGTAATCGGGAATTCGGGAACCTAATAACTAATAAATATATAATAGAATGTGTTATTGTACACTTGTAGCTATGTATTTATATCGAATAGGTACTTTTATAAATAATAGTCATATTCATATTATGTTACGAGAAATGTTATACTTCCCATTGGGAACGGATCCCTGAGTATATAACATTATATTGAAGCGGTTTTCGGCCATCATAGTTATAGAGTTAGACAGTAATTAAAATAAACTAAATCTTATCAAAAAACGTTGAACCTGCCGTCAGCAATAAATCAATATATTAGGCATTATGACATTACTGTTACATTATAATATTATAGTTTTGTGTGTACACGTGATACGCATCATCATAATAATAATAATAACATAATATATATTGGGTGCCTTTACACGGGTTTCATAGGCGTTTTGTTCCGCTTTCGATTTTGATCGGCTCTCGCGCGATCTGCCAGTGGAGGGTACATAATTATAATATATATATATAAAGGTGAGGTACACATATAGGCGGGTTACATAGCGGGCAACGCGATCAATCGTTTGTGTGCGTGTGTGAAGGGTGCGGGCACACGTGTAACCGCTTGGGTGTGCGTGAGTTGCGTGAAATAACCCTCACGGCATCGGCGACCCTGGTCGAAGGGACGGTGGAAGGGCGGTCCGGTGCGGGCCTATCGGAACTCTCGAGGGGACCAACGACTGGTCGGCAGGCAGTGGTGGCGGTTGCGCGCCGGTCCGGAAGACCTGCCCACCCACCCCTTCTCCACCACCAACACCCGTTAGTCGTCCCGTTGTGGCGACGGCGATAGGGCGCCGCAGCTGCTGCAGTCGGCGCGTATTGCACAGTTGCAGAAGAGGGACTAGCGACGGTGGCGGTTTGGTGGTCGGCCGGAGGGTCGGTGGTGCGGGCTCCCTCGCTGTTCCCGGAAAATCGGCGGCCGACGCGCGTAACCGGATTTCGATCGGTCTATACGACGAGGGTGGCCCGCCACCGTCGAACTCGCGCGCTCGCCAAAACAAAAGAATCGGCCCGCGGCCAAATTTTATTTTTATTTTGTTATTATTATTGTTAAATTTATTATTATGTAGGTACGGGACGCTTTCACCCGGAAACCTCTGTATAACGGACACCTATGCAAAGATAGAAATAATTGGCGAAGGTCTTGGGGAAATCCTACAACAATAATCGTAAAATGTTGTATATTATACTTTGTAATACTCTTATTGTTTGGTCTTAAAAATAAAATAATTCCTAATAGGTTGAGAATAATAATTGATAACAGAGCACCCGAGGACCATGATTACAGAGACACCATTTCAAATGAAATCTAAATCAAAGTTTTGAACCACGGCCGAAAGATTTTATTTTATTTATATATGTTAATAATATTTTAATAATATGTGATAAATTTGTATTTTGTACCATTCCAGAATTCCAGATTATCCTTTTTATTCCGAAATTATACAATTATTATTGGGCCGTTACTGCTTTTTGTATAGGCAACCAAACATACAAAACAACTTACTATGCATAATATTATGTAATGCAACAATAAATTGTACACAGAAAATGCTGTACATCACAAAATAAATGTAATTTACACGAATTGAAAAAGTTATACATTGATACGTTTTAATACATTTATTACAAATGGGATTGTTTATTAAATTAATTATTATTAAAATTTCACTTTTATATAAGTCTTAAAAGTGCATTTAAATTAAAATAAGTATTTTTACTCGTTAAAAACATGAAGGTAAATATAATTCACAAAAAAATGTTGTATATTATTTATTATTATGTACCTCGAGGCTTATGCTTTATATTCGGTTTGAGTATAAGCTATAAAGTAATATATATTTTATGCTCTTAAATTACTTCATGGGAAAAAAAACAGTAATTTAAAGAAGGGGCCACGATATAATATTATGTTTCAAAGGTTGATTCGTCTGTGTGTGTGTTGTCCTTTTACGTGTTAAAAAAGCATGTTAAACACAGCGTATATAATTGCGCGTGGAATTCCTCTTTTAAAAAGTAGATTTAAATTGTATATGCATACTAACGGAATAATGGAAATATTGAGAAAAAATAGAGAGAAATATTTTTAAGTTTTATTTGCTAAAGTTAATTGCTTCTCGCTATACCTATTATAATATTTTTTCGATAAATGTCATTCTCTCGCCCAGTCACTAGGACAGTATTTTTATTATAAAATGGGTACCTATATAATATATTATAAGTTCAACAACAATAAGATTTTATGATGGTGTATAATCGTGTGAAGTGTAATCGTATTATTCCATACTAAATTTTGCATAACTCGATTAGTTTTTAATATAAATAAATCAATAACTACAAATGCAGATTGTGTGTACACTCGTAGAGTGTATACATTCTGTATTTACTAATTAATGTATAAATTATTTTAAAACAATAAATTATTGCATTAATATCGCGAGAGTAAATGAAGAAAAAACTTTATTTAAAAGTTTTTTTGACAATACATATATATAATAAAATATATATACACGTAAACTACTGTTTATTCATCAAGTTGCTGAATGCTGAAATTTCCGCGATATAATAAAAACAATAACCGTACCTTAAATAAAAACAATTTCATCAGTGAAGCTTGCAGAGTTCAGTTAAGACTTGGAAGGGGTGAAAAGAGAAGCTGATCAACAATAACTCGCAAACTCTAATAAACTCTGTTATACATGCTCGTAATTATTTCTTTTAACGTAAACCATAATTATATTCTCAGTCGATATAATATAAATGTTATGCATACATTTCAATTGTATAAATGATACTTTAAGATATATATTCAGAATACAAAAATRTGAATATACGAGTCGACATAAACAATAATGAACTTAAGAGTAAATCAATGTCTTTGTAAAATCGTTATTTAACTGTAAGTCTGTAACAACTAATACGTTATATACCCTAAGCTTGCTTAAGATTTAATTGGAAGAGATTTTTTTTTTWAAAACACTAAATTCAAACGATATAATAATAAAGAAAATTCGTCTCGCATTAGGGAAAATACAAATAAAATAGACCAATATTTTCCGGTGATGCTCACCTCTCCTCTGGATATCATCTCTGGACACGGTGGTGAGTGACGCCGTGGTAGCCGTGGCCAGAGAAGCGGCCGCTGGATTTCCCGGATGGTGGCCAGCCGAGCCGACCAGTGCCGGGTGGTGCGGTGACGGCGCGCCGCCGTGCACGGGTGGGCCGCCCGACGATGGTGGTGGTGGTGGTGGTGGTGCTGCGTACCACGGCCAACCCGTTTGTCCGTTGAACATGCGGAGCTTGTCGTACACAGACTCTGCCGCGCCACCTCCGCCGCCACCGATGCCGCCACCGCCGCTCAGGCCATTTCCACCGCCCGGCTGGTGCGTCGACGAGGCCTGGTGTTCCTTTTGTGCGGCCAAGTTCCTCAGCACCCGGTTGATGGACGACACCTGTAAAACACATTGTAACATTTAAGACAATATGATGACATGATTTTAGTTTCTTATATTACAGCCGACTTATGGAGTGTACTTTTGGGAAATCGGCTAACAATAATTGGCAATACGGCCTGGAAGTAGAAATAAAATTAACCTTTCCGAAATTATTCTCTCTAAAAGGTTCAAACAGGTAGATGTCAAACTTAACATTTATTATTTTGCGATTCGTTACATTTTGATTGATGCGTGGGACTTGATCCCGATCAGAAATTAGTTGAAATTGTCTCAAGTTATTTGTGTCGTATAAAAAATAATAGTCGTAGAGAAAATCGATAAAACCCTTTGTTACATTTGTCTTATACCATAATAATATTAATATGTTAATTTAGCTCAGTTATATCATACATTTTATAAATCTYGTTTCGATGACTAATAACCTGTGACATTATATTAATATACCAACTGCAGTTACTTGATGAACGCTGCAGGAATCACGTGACCCGTCCAAAACATCTAACACTGTATGTATATATGGGTTTTTAAATTTAATTTTCGTGTCAATGTTCTGGGTTATTGTTATTATTATTATTATTATTATTATTATTATTATTATCATCGTCATCGAGTGCAATTATTATTATTATTGTTACGCTCAGTCGTGTATTATATTCAACGTGCGTACGTTTTGATTATCGCGTGTAAACATGCGTGTTATAATATATACATATAGGTTGTGCACACAGAATGAAGAGACGCGGTCGACTGGAGAAATCGCTACGACGACGGTGGTGGGAGGAGGAAAAAAATTTGTTTTAATCAGTCTGCATGCATTGTCCGTGCGCAAATCGGTGTGTTAATTTGGACAAATGCGACGGAGGTGGGACAGGCCGAAGGGTGGCATCGACCGCTGCCACCGCCGCCGTATAATGAAGTATTGGCTGGCCAAGTCATTGAGCAAACATAATAAAACAAACATTTTGCGCTAAAGGAAAGCGTTTAGAAAAAATAAAGAGGAAACAGTGGGGTTGTTGCGCGCACACTGCAATATTTTCTAGTTGTTTTATGTGCAGTAATTGCGAGCTTTTTTAAATTAAAAGTAAAAGAAAAGGGGGATGGAGAATATTTGTTTGTTTTTCAGCTCTACTGATAACCAGAGTTTCTTTTATTCGTCTGTATTATTTTTTTTTTTATTATTCATATTATTATTACGCGTAGCCCGGCGAAGGTACGCTAGCTGCACACCAACAAACCTGAAGAGACGCATGCAGACCTGGCACTACGCTAGACCAGTATTTTGCCAAATAACATATTATTGTTTAGAGATTTCAATTTGCAAAGTCTCTAGAAATCAGAATCTTGAACCTCCATTACCAGTTTGTTGTATAAAGTTTAAATTCTTCGATTATAAATTATAATATGTACAAAGCTATTTATTGTTAAATAAAATTAAAAAAAAAAAACAATATTTCAACAACCGATATACGAAAATGTTGTTCATGCGTGGTCATTTCCGCTTGCTAACCTACTCGGTAAAAGATGATAGTAACAGAATTGTATTATTAACATTCGACTCGGGTGGGTTGACTCGCCGACATGCGAGTTAATTAAAACAGTAGAATTCGGAACTATATATACTGTCACGATGGTCGTCAGGTTTAACGAACATTTTAATCAGGTTACGACACGACTTCCGCAGGGGGGTATGTGGATACGCTGCAACATTCTAGTCGGAGAGACGCGCTTGGAGGCGCTATGTACCCTAAGCCAAACGCGTGAGGGAGGGAAAAAAGAATTACTCATATATATATATATTATATACACGAGAGAAGAGTGAAGGATAGTGAGTTTATATATGATATATATATATATTACTATATGATACTGGTTTTCATATATATGTATATATACGTAGAGGGTGCCCCGAAAGACTAAAGGTTTTTGGACCGTGAAACGCGTCGTACTCGTTAAGTGTAATTGCGTTACGTAAACGACTGCGTAAGTCTCCACGCGAGTTGTCCTCTCCACTCCGCTTTTTGCGAGCTCGCGCGCGTCGTGTCGCCGCGACAACCAATCGACGGTGGGGTGGTGAGTTGTGTAGTGGCGGGGGTTGTATACGTTGAATATATAGTATATATATATATATAAACACGGGGTGAATTGCCAGTGACAGCGGAGACATAAATCCTTCGGGATAAAAACAACGTGGACCCGGCAGGCAGGGATGTACATTGTACTTATATATATATATATATACATATAATATATAAGCGTGACAGTTAAATAACAAGTGTAATATACGAGGTCGTGTATCCGCCGGCAGTGGTAAAGGAGAGGTAACGAGCTTCAACAGTGGGGCGGCCGCGAGTTCAGCGAAAATTAACAACGAAAGACCACCATTTTACTGCCTCCGGGCAGCGGCTTCGTACATATTATATAATATATATAATATATATATATATATATATATATGGCTCTAGAGACGAACGTTTTCCGTTCAAATTGTTTTTTTTTCGCCTGTAAAACCGCAGTAGAGAGTTTCTTGATGAGGTCTTTTTCATGATTAAAAATTAATACGTTTTCATAATTATTTTATAACATAGAATTAGGCATGCAGTCGAAAATAAACCTAATTGATATTGCGTGTACCCTCCCTTTTTGTGGAAAAAATGTCGTTGAAATAATATGATGCATAATATAGGCAATACGCACTTATATACATATATTATACATTATTATATAAACGGAAATGTGTTTGAAATCGAATCGTTATAATAAAATCCCGATCGTATAATGTTTCTCGTATATAGAATAGTATCTATGCAACATGGGGAAAGTTTTGACAGAAGCATAAATTTATAATATATAATACAGGGTGTCCCAAAGAGATCTGACATTCTGACGAATGAAATAACTTTTGTTCTAATCAATATTTTTTAAAAATTTCTTTTAAATATAATCCATTGACACTTACGCTACATTTTTAGAATACATTTTTTATTTTTTAATATTGAAAATAAAAAACTTAAAAATTGATAAAAATTTTTGAATTATCAATATTTTCGTTAGGTAAATTATAGTAATTTATAATGTATAATCACATATTATTAAAATAAATACAATAAAAAAAATAATTAGATTTTAACATGCACTTATTTAAAAATGTTCTTATAAAATATTTWAAAAAAAYTTTATTATTATTTGAAATTACAAGGTTTCTAACATAAACTAGATCGTAATTTATTTAACGAAAATATTGATATTTAAAAAAATTGTAAAAAATCAKCCATTTGACTTAAATAAGTATTTTTACCATATACATTTTTCTAAACATCAGTCAAATTTCAATTTTCAGTATTAAAAAATAAAAAATGTCTATATCTGTAAATCTAAAAATGTAGCACAAGTTTCTATGAATTATATTTAATAGAAATTTTTAAAAAAATATTGATTAGAACAAAAGTTATTTCATTTGTCAGAATGTCAGATCTTTGTGGGACACTGTATACCTAATATGTATTATATTGCAAATAATATAGTGGCAGATTAGATGGTTTTATAGCGCACAGCAGTTAGTGTTTAAAACAACGTATAAATTATTAAAACAATTTACTGTATAGGTAGGTAGTAAATAAATTAAAACAAAAAAAAAAACATTAATGTGATTAGAGCTGATAATTACGATGGACGTACGAAATCAAAATAAACGTTTACTTATCATACTTTTTATTTTTTTTCAGTTCCCACAACGGATTATGAAGCTATGTACAATTTTAGTGATAAMAATAGGAGAACGTACCTACCTATATTATGTAGTTTGTCAGAATAGTCTGCACATATCACAACGAATAATAGACTTAATATTAATAGCCAAAGAAGAAGACTATCATCATTTATTAGAATTTGCAGATTCTTATAAAATGCAAATATAAATTTAGTAATGTAAGCAATACKGTGGTTTTATTTTTTACCAATTAGTTATTTGTCACATTATTTTGCTTTTATTTTTTTTTTTTATCAAGAAAAAACAGATTTTTATTTTTTCTAATTTTAGCCACCATGCGTCAGGGAATTCAGATAATTTTTAATCTATCTTGAACTTGGCAAACACACTAATTACTACTTATGTCAAAATGCTTAAGTCATAATACCTATATACTTTACATATTAGTACATTATTCTTAATAAACAGATTTATCTATTTTCAATTTTTAGTAGATATTTCATAGAGGAATATTGTTTTGTTTTTATATATTAATATAATGTGCGACAATGTCGTATGTCTATAAATATTATATTACATCGGTAACAGATTAGTTTTTGACGTTATATATTATAGTATTATATCCAAAAAATTATTTCCATTACAACGAAGCCAAATTATAATTTAATATTATATTAGGACCACCTCAGGTCATACATTTTGGTCTTCTAGAAAACACAATAATGTACTCGCAATACAGTCGTTCCACCATATATGATGACTGATGAGGTATGATCATGTATCATCGCCTGATTGTATCACATTAATTATTAACTTAAAATCTACCTAAGCAGCAGACAGAAGTAACTCGGCCATTGTAATAGTGTAACAATATAGACACACACATGCGCAAGTACGCATGCGTCTGATGTGCACTGTTGTACGATATTATAATATTGGCAACACAGTTTCGGGGAGAGAAAACAATGTGTCGGAGAGCAGATTTCTGCGTACGTGCAACGTCCATTGATCCGTCACACGTATATACGAGTAATATAATGACTCGTGAGGCGTGTGACGCGTGTGCGACAATAAAATCTGTGACAATATTTATATATATATATATATATATATATACATAACATATATTAGATACATACACGAGTATAATATATTGTATGTAATATAGGGGCGGCGGTGGCTACGACGGTGGAGTGCGATTGTGCGACCGAGTGCACTCAGACGAACAGTGTTCGCCTTGTTCTAAATCGCCGAACGGAGCGAAATTACCTCTGGTCGATTCTCAAAGTCT